CTACGGTGAAGATGCACAATTCACCTTAGTTAGTATAGCAATAGACCATATGACAACATCAAAACAAAATGTCAATCTCTATTCATCATTCTAGGACTAGTTAAATTCTCGATCGAATTCACAACCATCTAACTCATACTTTCGCAAAACAATTGAAGACACTTAATACAACTTCGAATTGAACTTTATTAATAAACCTCATTTAAGAAACACTCTGCAACATTGTTTCAACGAACAATTAATATAATCTACAATATTTAAAAAGAAAGGATTGAGGATAAACCTTTGAATACCAATTTTACTTCTATATATTTAGTTATATGCCCAATATATCCTTATTTAATTTTAATTTTGTTAATAATTAATTAATAACATTAATTCAATTTACTCAAAATGAAATTAAAAATTTCTTTTTCTTTTCCATTTGTCAATATTTCCCTAATTAATGTTTACATTACTTTTTATTAACTGTATTAATTCTATTTATTCAACATGAAATTGGAAAGTGGGTGTTGTTTGAGGAATTTAAAGGATGACCTTAAATTCTCATTCTGAGATTAATTTTTTTTAATTTAATTAATAGTATTAATTCAAAATGAATTGAAAAATTATGTTGTTTAAGGAGCTCAAATGATGGCCTTTAAATAACCATTTATAGAAATTTAAGAGATTATTATTTCAATTTAATTAACTGTATTAATTTAATTATTTTAAGCTTTAATTTCCATAATCATGAAAGTGACATTCTAAGCCCTTGTTTAGCCCTCATTTTAATGAGATTTTGAAAATAATGTATTTTGAGATAGTAATTCTTGAGAGAACTTGTGGTTAAAAAGAACAGAAAAAATGTGTTAAAATTTTAATGGGGATCAAACAAGGGCTAATTGGCGAAACATAATTCTCCTTTGATGGAATGATGATTAACCCAGCCACCAATGTCCGTGAGCTTCTTGAATGTCCTGTTTGTATCAATTTTTTTTGTTCTATTATTCACATGTGTACATACTTTATTTTCTAAATTTATTTTGGTATTTATATTCAAAAAGATCATATAAGAATTTTTTTACGTCAAAGTAAGATTTTTTTCTTTTTTGGTTCAATTCTTTGTATGTTTTTATCTGTAACTTCATTCTATGGCCATGTTTGAGCCACATTATTTTTTCATTCCCATTCTTCTAATCATTTTTAACCACACATTTTTCAATAAAATAATATATTTCATCACATCAATAACTTTTCCTTCTTTTTCAATCACATATTTTCCATCACATCAACAGTAAAAATTAACTTCATTCTATGGCCATGTTTGAGCCACATTATTTTTTCATTCCCATTCTTCTAATCATTTTTAACCACACATTTTTCAATAAAATAATATATTTCATCACATCAATAACTTTTCATTTTTTTTCAACCACATATTCTCCATCACATCAACAGTAAAAATACATTCTTTTTTCAAAAAAGTGCACCAAACGGGGGCTATATTTTAGATTTTTATCATTATTCATGAATATGTTAAATGATTTCTTGAATTTGAAGGTTTATTATGTTGTTTGTAGTGATGATGATGTAGTTTGAGAGAGTAAAACAACACTTGAAGGCTGCAAAATGACGATGTAAAGTGCGGCTATTATTTTTCTACACAATTTGCCTTCCATTTTTATGAGTTTTTGTTGGAAAAAATGAGGTGACGGCAGACTTTGACATAAATTTTGAATGAGACTCATTTGCTTAATTTGGAAGATCGACATTGATTTGTTTTCTCTTATGTGAGAGCATCAAAATCATGTATTTACTTGTCAAAAATGAAGTTCGAGTGAATGAAAAATTGGAGTTTAAATTGGACTATTGGAATATGATTTATGTTGAAAGGAAAACTAAAATTGAGTTTATCTCACATAGGAAGTTGATGAAAACAAGAACCATTTTATATATGACTACACTTTGGAAGAGTGTAATCATGTGTAGCATAGATGCTCTCTACACGTGCGCGTGTAGGGGTGCAAATCACGGACCGAAATAGGCTTCAGACATTGAACTTGTGTGCAGGCGTGACCTGCGTACATGAATGTCGGACCGAATTGACCAAAAATTGGCTCCTTATAATGTCTTACGTTTTGTCAAATTTTTTTTTGCTTTCAACAATCGACTTTTGGTTTCTGAAACTCAAATGATTATTGTCATTAAGTTTGAAACTGTTGAAACTCCAATAGTTATTGAACTGACTTATGGTTTCTAAAACTCCAATTGTCATTGTCATTGTGTTGATGGACATATTTAACTCGTAATTATTTGGGTTAAGTCTATATAAAGCCTCGATTTTTCACTGTTCCAAACATGAAGAAAGAGTCTGCATTATAGTTCTAAAACACACGAAATTGTTCTATATCTGCATACATATTTTACGTCAGTCAAGGTCTTGTGGTGATATTGTTCAGATACTAAATCAGTTCGTAGAAATAGAATTTGCAGTGCTCGAACTCTACTAGTTTACCGTTGTATTTTGGGAAACAAACGCTCAAGTTAAATCTCAAGCACCTACGGTGAAATTGCGAATTTGTTTTAAGGAATCTGAGTTCACACAGATTTCAGGTTTTAAAGTCTAACTGAATTATTTATTCTCTGTTTAGATTATTTGTTCACAAATTACTTTTTTTAACAATTTTGTGGTTTTTTCCTCCTTAAAGGTCGTAACAGGAATATTGTCCAAACGTACGAAATTAAATTGAAGGAAAACTGAAATGGACTATGCTGAGGCATGTATTTTAAATTGCAAATTTATATGTTAAATACAAAACTCTTGCCTTCTCCATAGAAGATCCAGGAAATTTATAAATCTCAAATAAATTTAGAGAAATTATTAATTAAGACATTTTTAATACTTTCAAAAACAGTTTTAATATTTTAAAAATATTACACATATCATTCATTCGATACATAAAACGTGCAACTCACATGCTTACCACTAGTATCTATTTAAAGACAACGTCACATCAAAAACCTAACTCTTTTGGACACAATCCAACATAAGTTCCTCTCCAATTTGTAATAGTCATCCACAAAATTCAATGGTACATCATTATTTTTGTGCACACATGCAATTTGAGTGGGCATGAGATACCTACCAACTACCATTTTCTGCAATCAGGTTTTATTAACATCTCCAACAAATTGTGCATATGAGCATTTTATGAGCCATAGATCTCTATCAGACCAATCCATATGAAATTTGAATGATGCCATTAATGTTTTTTTCTCCAGCTTCTTCAATATTTTTTGGATCAATAATACCTGTACATTTTTTTTTTCATTTTACCCCTCTTCGCCTACCTCATTTTCATCGATTTACATAAAATCATTATTCATTACTTTAGTAATTTTACTCCACATTTCGAATTCTAGTAATGTACTTGTTGTGGCCTGTCTAACAAGAATCTTACCTTCTCTTTGAAATCATTTTTGAGGAAGTTCAAATACATGTGCCCCATCACAAGTCCTTAGACAAAAGTATAATAGACTAATTCCAAGAATAAAGTGCACGATTGACTAAGTTTTTAAGTGCTTATAAGAAGTGAGTACCAAAGAATTGTGATTAAATTAAAGTAGGTAAAAGTTGTCTATGTATAGAAATAAAGCTTGGCTAACTTATAAACAATTATAAATTTTAGCAAACGTGCACTGAGCATTTTTTATCACAACCACATGAAATGTGCATTTATTTGCATCTATATCTACAAGAGAAAACAATTGCCATCTCCCTTCAACCAACACATGTAAGGATCCGAGCATGCACCCTTGCCGTTCTTTTACTCACGGTCCATTTTGGGAGAGTCTGTGTCATTTTTAATCGTGAATAAAGCATGAAATTACTTGTCTAATTAAAAATAGAGCATAAAATCACTTGTTATTCTTATAATCTAACAATACAAAAAATAAAAAAATAAAAAAAATCAATTAAACGAAGCAACAAACAAAAATTCACTACAAAGTTCAGGATCAACTCATAAAAGTAGAAAAAAACATAAATTATTTAACACAACATAACTGTAATATTTAGATTGAATATTAATTCTTAAGAACATTTATGCAATAATACATATTTAAAAATACATGTAATATTTATAACTTGATTATCTTTAATAAATCCTCAATGATCTTGATTGTAGATGGCCTGCCACTTTGAAAATAGTGAGAAATTTGAGTTCTTATGAAAAATGAACTAAAAATATATTTTTTCTTATTAAGACTTACGTTAAAACTACGAATTTGTAAATTATTTAGATTTGGATTTTGATTATTCGTTAGGTTTTGCTGCAAAAGAAATAAGAAGAAACGTATGAGAAGTGCAATTCTAGTGTGGAATAATTTTAGGGTCTAGTATTCAAAAATTCGGTACATCTTGATAAAATGCATCGGTCAAAAGAGATATTCAGAAGGGTAATTATATTACCACTACAAAATTTACTCACCACACCACATTATAATCACACCACAATTAAAATATGTTTTCAATAAATACACCACACCAAATTTACAATTATACCCACTATTCAATAAAAACTTAAAATGGACAAATTTATAAGAGCATTGCTACTTGTACATAATAATATGTACATCAAGGTGTCCACCCCCTCACATGGGGGTGGGGCCCACTTGGAGATAATATTTTTTATTCAAGTGGCTCCCACCCTCATGTGAGAGGATGGACACCTTGATGTACATATTATTATGCACAAGTAGATAATTCCAATTTATAATCACACCACACCATTTCTTCTACCCTCCAAACTTCCAACTTGTGCTCTTTTGGCCCATAGTGTGCGACAAGGGCGTGTTCCGATAAGGAATCTACTGGAGACGAAATGATATATGCTTCTGTAGGATGAAGATTTCCACTGCTTGGGTTTACACGTAATGACCAAGTAGAAAACTCAGTACTTTTCCACGCAGATAAAGCAAGGGAATTGTAGAAAAATTGAGAAATTGTGGTTTTGGAAATGGGTTTTGGATATGGGAGAGAATCGAAGACGGAGAAATTGGGAGGGCTACTCCGGTCATTTTCGTGGTGGAGGAGCGGCAGGAGCAGGGGCGGATACGTAGTGGCGGAAGGGATTGGGTTGGTTTACTCAGTCGAGACCATGCGGGCCACTGGCATAGTTGGTGAAGGAGTGTTTAGTTTGGTTGTGGTCTTCAACACTTGGTTTAAGAGCTCTTCCTTTTCTTGTGGCCTAACGAGTGATTCAGGTGGTGACGATGGGGCTGATGACGACATGGACATGCTGACGAAAAGTTTACCGGCGACAGCAGTGTTAGAGGGGCGGAGGAAAGGGTGGTGGTGATGGTGACTTTCTGGCTATACAACCACGACTAATAAATGAAAAGAATTTGAATAAACACTGTAATTGGAAAAATCCACATCAAATTGCAGTACGAGGAAGTGGACACCCCCTTCCGATATTTTCTTGAGGGAGTTGAACTCCAATGCTTCTGACTCACTGGACAAGATTAGATTCCCGTCCCTCACTGATAAATTGGATAAAGAACAGAAAATACTTTCCATCTGTGATAGAGGTATAGGCATGACAAAGGAAGATTTGATCAAGAATTTGGGAACCACTGCCAAGTCTGGAACTTCAGCATTTGTGGAGAAAATGCGTCGAGTGGAGTTCTTAACCTTATTATAGGCCAATTTGGTGTTGTCAGACTGTCAGTTGAAGGAAAAGCAGCAACTTAAATTGTGGTGTATTCAGAAAAAATGTTAAGAATTTATATAAAATTGTGGGTAATTAAATAATTTTACTTGAGGTGATTTAAGTAAATAAAAAAATTGATTAAAAATGTGGTGTAACAAGTAAATTATATTGTGGTAATATAATTACCCTATTCAGAATAATCAAATTCATTATTAGTTCTCAAAGCATTACCACAAATCGGATTGGAACCGATCGATTCTTGATACATGGTCCCAAAATCGACCCATTTAGTAGAGGAACTGAAGTCGAACCAACCGATTCATTTGATTCTGATTCGATTCCATCGATTTCGTGAAAAAATGTTCAACCTTGGCCAAATCGAACATTTAAATCTTTTTATTGGTTCTAGATTTTCAATCACATTAAGCTTGTTTGGTAGAGATTGAAATCAAAATTTAGTACATTTTAATAAAAATTGATGTAGTGTGTGGTTAATACATTGTGCCAGATCCTATAAATATATGATTAAATTTAATTATTGATTTTGACTTAAATTCTAAACAAAATTTTTAGCAGTACCAAACGGGGCTTAAATACATTTGCTACTTTCTGGACAAGAAAAAAAAAAGAAGAAAAACTATAAATTGTTTCTATATCTAGCCTGGGTATATCCCTTAACCTTTCCCTATTACATTCGGCGCCTCTGGTTTTCGTTGCCTCGATCTGAATATCAAGAGAATTGTTTTCTGGTTATTTGAGATTCTCTGTAAATCAATTGATAATCTTGGTATTTCCCAATTCATCTGTTTTATTTAATTACTTGTTTTTGGGTTTTGATATGGGTTTAATTCTGTAGTTGCCATCATTTTGTTCGTGAATTATGTGACAGAAATTTATTTCAATGTTTACCATTTTCCGGATTAATTGGCTGGATTCGGTTGGATGGAAATCAGATTACCATCTAAAGAATCCAATACTTTTCTGATGTGGGATTATCTTGAAATTCTTGGTTCTACTTTCAGGGTGTTTGCTTGCTCAAAAACTATTAATTTAGTAAGTGAATGGTTTCAGTTATTCATCATTTTTTTGGGACTGCTAGACTGTGTGCGTGTGTTCAGTTCTCTTTTGCCATTTCAATTTCATGTAGATGATTTCATAAAGTGAGGTTTCAGTTTGTTATACTATATGATTCCATACATGCAATGTTACCCATGTATATTAGATTTACACAACTTGTATGGTAGTGTCAAACTCGGTATATTGTTCAATTTTTTGCTGAGCTGTAGAAGCTGTAATTTTATCTTTGGGTGGGTCTAGGTTTCTGTACCTGTTTCCATGCTTAATTGCTGAAACCTGGCAAATGAACTTACACGTGGTCGGTTTGGAAATGTCAAACATAATACAAATGATTATTAAGACTTATCTGGGTGATTGCCAATCATTAAGTTTTGACCAGATCATACTCCAAACTTAAATGAACTTGAGCCTATAGGAACAACAGATGATTTAATTAAGAGTGTGTAATAGATTTACCACAAACTGTGAATTGGCTGAAGTTCCAGGAATGAGGTTATAATGACTAGAAAATATTTCACAAGAGATTCTTACCTTCGGTGAAAAAGTTCTGATATTTATTGTTGAAGTGAGCATTTTTGGTTGACTCTACGCGTGGTCTTGAATAATAATAATTTTCCCTCTAGGGGTGAACCCGAAGTCTGTGGAAGTAATCTCAAGCCTAGAGTTTCGTGCTAGGTTGCTTCCCAAAATATTTTCTGGACAATTGATGAGGAACTAAGGAATTATTGTATATGNTGGACAATTGATGAGGAACTAAGGAATTATTGTATATGCTATATGGTAATTGTTATTGCCTAAGGACCATTTACTTACTAATTGAGTGCTGCAATACAGTTTTTAAGTGACAGAGCTGTTGATGTAAGATATGTATAGTAACATGTATACCAGAAAAACAAAAAACAACGAGGACAAAACTCAATGGAATGGTTGATTCTAAACTATTCAATATATTTTTAAATGCGGCAGAAAGCTCAAATTAGGAATTTACTGAATCAAGGGTAACATTCAGCTGAACGAAACTATACCCAGAGCAATCATCTTTCGATAGTTATTAACTAGAGGTCTCATATCTGGCTATCGTTGACTTTGGCACTTCATAACTATCTCTACTTGTCATCCTTCTCAACCGACATTGTTGCGAATGATCCAGGTACTTGATTGAAATGCCAATTTAACATTGGATGATTTACTTTTAATCTTCTTATTTAACCAATTGAATTTTTTGGAAATTGAGGAACATGTTTGATTTATAAGTTTCTTTTTGAGTTTTGCACAGCCTACCTGAACTAGGCTTCTCTATATGTTTGGACGAGTAATAATCAATGAGAATTTTAAATTCATACCTTTTTCCTCTTTGTTACCTTTAACAGGTCTTATTTTTGGTAAGCTTGATGGTCCTGGCAAAGGTTAAGGCAATTTGCATATCACAATTATGCTAGCCACCTTTTGTGGCATATATATGCTCCTTGTGTTGGTGCATCCTCACTAGCCAAGTACTAGCCCCTTGAGATAAGCAAATGTTAAGTCATGGTTGTTATTACTTGGCTCCATGCCGAGGCTTGGCCCCCCCCCCCCCCCCCAACATTGTTGTACTCCATGATAAGGAAAACAAGCCAATGCTGGTTTGACTTGCGACTGTCTTCAGATGTCAGTGCATGGCATGGGTGGATTGCCCAGCCTGTAAGAAAAATTTAGGCACGCAATGTGAATTCAATGCACACTGAGGCTCGATGGAAATATACAAATGATGGGGTACTTCTATGTCAGAGTTTACAGGTTTGGATTTCTGTCCAATGCAGTTGATCTCCGCCATGTGTACACTATGTGGGAAGTGACTGACATGGACTTTCATTCAGTGTGCAAATGAAATGGACAATTGTACATGACAACCCTGATCCCTTAGTTAACTGTGTTGAGGGTTGTGGGAAAATTGACTCATGAGGTGGTTTCTGAACGCAATGGGCTGTTGGCAACTATATGGCTAGTAGGCTGTTTTAACTTGGTGAACACACCCTAGCAGTTTGGTAACACCCTTAACCTGTTTCCGCATATAGGGGCAGGCTGTTTAGGTGTCAAGCAGAGAGAAGTTGTTCTGCTTCAGCTTTACCTATATCTGCCGTATCCCATGCCTTGAATTATATTCCTATGTTGAATGTCATCTTTTTGTTCAGCGCCTTCAATTGTACCTTCTTCCAATGCATTTTTGTGGCTACTAAGTGAATTCTTAGTCATTGTTGGACAAAAGTTTTACTCAATATTGACTATGTAACAATTTGGTATGAGAGTTACATTAAATATGGTTGCCAAAACTAGAAGCATCAAGTTTCTTAGTTGGAGGGCTCTATTTGAGTCCTAAAGTTGGAGTTCAAAGGTCATTGTTCATTGAAAGAGGTGTTGGGAAGCATGGCATGGTAAAGACCCAAATATGTGCAGACATATGGGCAACTTTTATGCACGATCCTTCAAACATGGACCTTGGCGACATGGCTGAATCTAGTTGTGGGCATCGGGTGGGTCGGTCCGATATTTCAATATTCAGAAACACTCATTACACTTCTAGTATTTCATGAAACCGTTAGGGTCCACGTAATTACTGGAATCGATCCCTAATCGAACTGCCAGTTCGGGTTCGAGTTTAGCTCTACCCATAATATTTTTCAAAAATTGTGAGATCACAATACCAATTATCTTTTCAATATTTAGCCAAAATAGAAAAAATAAAATATGCCACCAAATAGTATCCAATATATAGCATAATAACATTCAATATTTAGCATAATTACATCCAATATCTAGCAAAATATGCCACCAATTATCATCCAATATCCAAATTACATACCCAAAACAAACCAAAAATTAGAAACCAACAACAAAGAAGTACTAGCTTTTACAAAATCTGAAAACAACATAAATTCATTCGTTTAGAAATAGTAAAACAATCAACATTGTCGACTCTTCTTTCCATCCCATCGTTTCTTTTGCATCCAACGAGTCATTAAGTTAGGGTGAATAAATTATAAAAATGTAAAAAAAATTATGAGGAAAAATTCGGTTTCACAGTCCGATACAAACCAAGAAACGTCTTAGACCCAATCGGTTCTCGTTCCTAATTTTTTTCTAGTTAAGATGCCCACCCCTAGCTGAATTCGACTGCAGGTAACATTGTGGAAGTAGTTAGCATGGACTCTCAATGTACGAAGTTAGATGCCAGAAGTTGAGGAAAATATGTACATGATGATCCCTAAACTGACCATTTTGTGGGTGGCTGTGAAAAAGCTAACTTAGAGGAAAGGGTTAGTGTGTGGTTTCAGCTTGGCCAAGTGGCCAATGCTAGAATTGTGAACACTCCCTAGTGGCTGGGGGTGTCAATTGCAGGGTTGGCTGTTGATGAACAAAGTAGAGAGTTTTGTTAGTCCACCATTGCTTGAAAGTTCTTTGTTTGAGAGAAATAAAAAGTTGACATAAGCATAATTGTTGGCTTCTGTGTGTATGTTTATCTATATGTGCCAAATGCCTTCATTTTTGTGTGCCTAGTACCTTCAATTGTGTCCTTGTGCCTTTGTCCGCTGCTTTCATGGGCATTTGGGGGCTAAGTGCGATTTTAATTTATTAGTGCAATGGGTGGGTGAAGAATTGACTGAGCATTGACTCCGTGACACCAAGGATAATGTTTATATTCGAATAGCATGAGTATTGAGTGCCATTGTACTCCGTGAATTTTGAAACTAATTTTCTATCAGGTTATGGAGTTGTCTTAACATGGAGATTTTGTAGGTGATAATGCTTATACTCATTTCTGCAGATGATTCTGTCAATTATGGCAAAAAATCAACGTTGTCTAATTTCTTAGGCAAGTAGTTGGGTCTAAATAAATATTTTTGTCCTCAAAAGCAGACCGGGGTCCTCCAGATAAGTGGACCAAGCAGATCGAACGAATTGATGCAGGGATCATATTTTGCCCCTCTTTGGTTTTCTTGAAAATCCGTTTTTTAATAAATTTTGATAAAAGTTGATGAAATGTGTGGTTGAAAAGTTGTGGGCCCCGTAAAATGTGTGGTTAAAAACGAATTTAGAGAAAAAAATGAATTTTTAAATTTTGGGGCCAAAATAGGGGCTTTATTCTATTTCGAAATTCAGCATGTTTAAGTTCCTTTCGTTCCTTGTATGATTGTTATTAGCGTTTTGCTCATATCTTTTTCATTCATTTTTCGCTGCAGAGTAGTATACATGGTTCAATAGAGATTTTACAATAAAGATCTCATCTTTCCTCTGGGTTCTTTAACTGCATTTATATGGGCTGAGGTGTACTTTTCATGGGAGGTGTAGAGCATGAAGATCCACCCTTAAAACGCATGAAAGTGTCGTCTGAAGAATCAGACAGTTTTTCCAGCAGTGCATCAATTAGAGAACGAGCTAGGTGCTTATCGAATGATACAATGGCTCGACCCCTAGAATCTCAAGGGGATGACGAGGTTGTTGGTGTAAAAGGAGTTGTTAAGAAAGTTGAACTTGTAAGAATTATTGCTGAGGCTTTATATTCTCTTGGTTATGAAAAGACAGTAGCACATCTACAGGAAGAGTCAGGGATACCTTTGCACTCTGCTGTTGTTAATTTGTTTGTGCAGCAAATTATTGATGGTGAATGGAATGAAAGTCTAGCCACATTACATAACATTGGTCTAATGGATGAAAATATTGTCAAGTTGGCATCTTTTGTAATATTGGAGCAAAAGTTTTTTGAACTTTTGGAAGGAGAAAAAATCATGGATGCTTTGAAGACACTGAGAACTGAGATTGCACCTCTGTGTGTACATACTAATAGGCTTCATGAGCTTTCTTCTTTAATTGTGTCTCCATCACAAACTGCTCTTGATGGAACTTCTGCTCATCGGTTAAGGATCAGGTCACGCAAAAAATTACTGGAGGAATTGAAAACTTTGCTGCCCTCTACGGTGATGATTCAAGAAAAACGATTGGTGCTTCTTGTTGAACAGGCTCTTGACTTGCAAAGGGATGCTTGCAGGTTTCACAACTCCGTGGTTGAGGAAATGTCGTTGCTCACTGATCATCAGTGTGGAAGAGACCACATTCCTTCTCAAACTTTACAGGTCAGGTTAAAATTATTATTTACACGTTGAAATGAAAATAACTTTTTATAATACTGCCATTTTATCTGGAACATGGTCTTCAGCTGTGCTGTTTAATACATTAATGCAAATAAACTCTCCTCATTTTATTTTTTTAAATTATTAGTTGATTGATTTGATCACAGAAAAAGAAAACTAAATCTATATTGTTTTTCATGAATACGATATTTGAATGTTTCACTTTTGAGTGTTGAAAGTGGAGAAAATTGCATCATTAGTCTTCAACTTACTACCTCAGTAGTAAGTTGGTCCTCAACCTTTAAAAAGGACTAAGTTGGTTCCTAACCTTTCATTTTTGTTGCACAATAAATTCTTGACGATGATAACTGTCCAAATCTTTGTTAAGTTGTCAAGTGTTTCTCGCATGTCCAACCTTCTGATGCTATTCTTTCCTTTCCAATTTAAGGCATTGTCTAAAAATTGGAAGTGAAATATGTTTTCATGAGAGCCGTGGTTTAAATTTATCTCACTGAGGGCTGATTGTACTACAATGGTGAAAACTGAAAAGGTCTGGTACCAACTTGCTATTGGGATAATAGGTTGGGGACCAATTTTGCAATTTTTAGTTTAAAAGGAAAGAGGTATTTATCTATTTCTACTATTGTTTTTGGGTGAAATAACTATATTAAGCCCTTGTTTGATCCCCATTATTTCCAAAATAAATTTTTCTTTCTCATTTTCAATCACACATTCTTCCATAAAATATTATTGAACGCAAACCCAAAACTTTTCTTTATTTTTCAACCACATACTATTCCAAAATGCATTTTTAAGAAAAAATGGGGCTCAAGCAGGCTCAAAGCCACATTTGAAAAGACGCTTAATCGGATATTGAAGCTATATACCTTTGTGAGGCAATGTGTAAGTCTCGAGGCATTGTGAGACATAATCCAAGAGATACCAACAAACAGCCTGTGCGTCTCCCATATTATCACTACTAACAAGATTTTAAATCCCTGATCATCATCTTCATGACTATCAGTTTTAGTCTCTTCTCATTTTTACCCATCATCCTCAACGTGCAATGTTGCAATCTCCTTCCCCTTCCCCTTCTGCTTCCATGTAAAAGTGACACTAAAGAACAAAAAAAAAAACTCATCATTCATGGGCTATAAAAAAATAGCCTAAAAAGCACACATCAGCTACCCTGAGGCTAAGCCCAAGGTGTAAGTTTTGACGATGGTATACAAGGTGTTAAATGAAAGCCGCACGTGAGGCGCCCCTTGAGGAATAATCTCAAACATCTGGAACAATGGTATTGTGAATGTTGTTTCACATGGCAATATAAATGTACGTGTCCTTTGTATAAGAACGGAATTGTTGTGTCACCGGCTCACCGCAAGAATCTCTTGGACACCAAGATAAAATGTAGCTCCTATTTGTTATCCTTTAAAATTTTAAATTGTTTGCTTCAGTACCATTCTTCACCACACATTCACACAATAAAATATTTTACACACGAACCAATAAAGTTTCCTTACTTTTTAACCACATATTCTCCATCAATCTACTATTCTATAATACATTAAAAGAAATTATTGGCTCTCAAATAGGGCCTTAATTTGTGGTCTAAATCTAAAACTCACATCTCGATTCGTNAGACCCCAACCTCTTGATCAAATAAAAGGATGGAAAACGATTAAAAAAAAAAGAATTATAATTTGAACGCTTTTTCTTATGCATAAATCCGAGACAAAAGTAATGCTCCAAGTTGTTCGAGAATAATAAATGTGTTCATGGACCATTGATCTAGAATTGGTCATGTCTATTTCTCAACGAGGGCTAGAAGGGGATATTACCTTGGCGTTTGTTTCATTGCTTTCTCATGGAGATAGATAGGGAAAATTGGTTAATACTATGAAACTAATGTGAAACAAGAAACCATGATCCTAATAATTATCTGTTTTTCTATCAGGCATTGATTATAAATCCCACTCAGAGGTACTCCAGAGTTGTGCCAAGTTGCTTCAAGCTTGGTCCGTCTAACCAATTTTGATAACATTAGATGCATATGTACATAAAGATGTCTGAACTCTTGAAAGAAAAAAAGCACAAGGTGAAATTAATTAACAGTTCTTCCTTTTCACTCATCAGTTCATCTTCTTCATTATTTATATTTTGTTGTTGAGAAACTCTGCTCTGAATTCTTCTTGTTTTTTTTTCATGTTGTGGGCTTCCGAAATCAGGTCTTTTGGGGGACAAGATTTCAGTAATGGAGTTCTTACTACAAGCAAATATGGAGCAAAGACTCGTAGTTTTTGGAAGTTTATTTATAAGTTATCTTTTTAAACTGAGCCAAACATGCTCTAAACTAATGTATTTGCTACCCCGTTGATGTACACTCACACCCGCACTACATGTCTTCCCATTTCAAAAAGAAAATGGTATCTAGTCGCATTTCAATCTGGTTGCATCATAAAATGGTGGTAAAATTAGTGTCTTTGTGCTTTTTGGGTGCAAATGTGCGATAATTATTAGTGTGGTGGATTGATACTGTTTATTCAGTTCATTGAATATACATTTCAAATGAATGTCCCCGTATTAGCTTGGTGGATTAACATGTTTATTCGGTTCATTGTGATTTAGTAGGCATAGATACTGATTTGATATTTACTACAGTATAAATACTTTTGATGTGCATGCTAATTATACAAAAAAAAAAAATTTTAAAAACTGTAAAATGACCTACAACACGGTCAAACAGCGTTGCAAAAAGGGTTCTTTGGCAACGTTTAGAAAACGTTGCGAAAATGGTTCTTTGGCAACGTTTAGAACCCTTTCGCAACGTTTTGTAAAAGTTGTTAAAGGTTCTTTGGCAATGTTTAAAAACGTTGCGAAAGGATCTTTGGCAATGTTTTTTTAATGCCGTATCTTTCTACTCTACGACAACATCTCGATTTGCAACATACGTCCAAACGTTGCAAAAGGTCTTCGGCAACATTTTTTGACCATTGTAAAAGGATTTTTTTGTTGTAGTGTGAGAATTGATTACGGTTAAAGTTATGAGAAATATGTGCAGTAAATCAACCTAAATTATGTTTCGATATGATGATTAATTGACAAGGTTGATCACTGATCATCTTTGGTATAGAAAAAGGAAAAAAAAAGGCTACTTGTTATTCACTTGAAGTTTTGTTTACATCGCATCGATTAATTTTTTGAAGTTATTTTTCATAGAAACGTCGTCCTAGTTTGTGCATCGTTAAGAGCCGAAATTGGCTTAGTGAATTGTTAGTGTTAGAGTTGGGTTGTGATCCGAATTCTTATTGAGTATTTGATTGAAAATATCGTTGGAGGAGTATTGGGAGTTGGTAGTAGGCTTGAAGATGTCTTGAATGAGTTTAATGTGAATTTGACTCATATTTCATATTAAATTCTCCATTATTGGTTTTACCCATTGTACGGGACTTCGCCTTATATTAAATTCTTCATATATTAATTTTCTTAATATGTTAGGGTTTTTTTGGTTATAAATATGTGGTGTATAACATATATTGAAATTGACCAATTAGTTATTGGTCTAAAGAAATCTTTGTAACTTCTTACTATTGATTATAGCGAATTCTCCTCATCTGCTAGTGATTTTTCTCGAATTTGGGTTTCCACGTAAATCTTATTTTCTTTGTGATCTATTATTTTCATATTGTTTATATTATTCTCTTCTTTAATTATTTGGCCGGATTCATAACAAACAGATATCAAAGTGCTTCTGGTATTTTGTTTGTTTTACAACTGTTACCGTTAGTACAACCATTATATTGCATTTGTGTAAATTTGCTGTTAGGTGGTGGTTGTCATCAGAGGAGGATTGATAAGTGTAGTTTTTACACTTATTTGAGGTCCTAAATCATAATATTTTATTATTTTTGGATAAAATTTTACCTAATTTATGTTATAAAGTATTGTGTAGATAAAACTTTATATTTAATGAAAAATTGAAGAAAAGATGAAACCTTGGAGAGAAATAGTACATTAAATCGGTTGAAGTTAAATGAGTCTCAATGGACTTGCATTGAAAATTTTAATTGGAGAATCAAATTATATATATATATATATATAGAGAGAGAGAGAGAGAGAGAGAGAGAAGGTGGAAGAGGAGAACTACGGCGAGGGGGAAAAAGCCGCAGCAAAGAGAGAGAAAGAGAAAAGAAAAGAAAAAGAAAAAAAGAGGGAGATATAAAAAATAAAAAAAAAAAAAAAAAAACAGAGGCGTAAGAATATACAACGGAAGCAAAAAATAACAAAAGATTGGGGTGCAACACGAGGACTTCCCAGGAGGTCACCCATCCTAGTACTACTCTCGCCCAAACACGCTTAACTGCGGAGTTCTGATGGGATCCGGTGCATTAGTGTTGGTATGATCGCACCCGTTATGTTAAGCGCTTTAAATAATTATAAATCCTTATAGTTTTACAATTTTCGGGTAATTTCCTCGATTTTGAGACCTCATTTCACGCATTTCGAGTCGAAATTCTCAATTTTATTCCGTTTTACAAAATCACAAAAAAAAAAAGAAAAATAGGGAAAAAAAAAAAAAAGCAAAAACTCACTCTGCGAACAATTTTGCGTATATGTGTTCTGTCCAATATTTGGCAAACCTTTTGTTTAGTATGCACTTTGCTGTAGTTAGTGATGGTTCTTTGTATTTAAACTTTGTTAGGATGCTATAGTAAACTGACCTAGTGTCTCTGGAACTTAATAGTGAAGTTATAATGATGTCAGCAGAGACTTTGGCCATACTTTTGACCCCAATTGATGGACAGTTGTCATGAATTTATTAGGCTCTGCATGGAGATGAAGCGTGATGTCATTTAAATGTGTATAGTTGATTAAAACAGATAATATGCAATGATCTACTAGTTGCTTGAATTCAAATCTTTTAGTGTAATAGATATCCGTTTTTCTTGAATATGAACAGTGGAATTGTAAAATATCTACTCTTCCACAGAACCTGAGGTAATTCACAGTTTATTTCATCACTGTGACCATCGATACCTTCTTTTGATGCAATTTTTTGACAACGGGAATGCTTGCCTTCATAATCCAGATATTACAAGAACACAGTAATGAAGTTTGGTTCTTGCAATTTTCTCACAATGGAGAATACTTGGCTTCGTCATCCAGTGATTGTCTAGTGATTATATGGGAGGTAATATTTTCTTTTTAGCTATGCATATAATTGCTTTGTACATGCATTTATTGCCCCTGGTTCCCTTCAATTACTGGATTTTTTATGAATATTTCCTCATGCCGTTAACAACTTACTACCGTGCTGATTTACAATTGTCAGTGCTATTTACCAACTTCTGCGCAACACTTCTTGACATTAAAATTGTCGTCTTCCAACTTAACATCAGCATCTGTTGCTCTCAATTTTTATATACCTCAAAATATGTTTCAGTCTTGGCGTAGTATTTACACCATTTATTCAGAGTAGAACTGTTTCTAAAACACTTATTGGATATGAATTGTAAGGACTATTTATTTGAAGTCAGACAATATCCATTAGATCTTATAGTTGTTTCAGAAATATATTTTTTTTTTTTTGATAAGTAATCAGAAGATTTTATTCATCATAGGATAATACAAGGGAAATGTATTATCAATTTAGACAACACATAAACGACATGAAATTGGGCAACCCATCTACATGATTAGGAGCTACAGTATTAAACCAACTAAACAAGGTTAGATAAAATAATTCTCTGAACTGCTCTTTTGTTCTAGCCTTGTCGTCAAAACAGCGGCTGTTCCTTTCCCTCCATACGCACCATACAATACATCCCGGAATAAGATTCCATACAATCCTACTCTCCTTATCGCGAAGTTTCCTCCACCATGCCAACAACACATCTTCAACTCGTCTAGGCATCACCCAATCCAACTGTTGGGAGGCTAGGATGGTGTTCCAAAGCCACCGAACACCATCGCAATGAATGAACAAATGATCAATTGTCTCCCCATCCTTCTTACACATATAACACCACTCGGTAATACACAAACCTCTTCTTCGAAGATTATCCACCGTTAACGCTTGTCCCCTCACAACCGTCCACAATAAAAAAGCCACCCGAGGGGGCAATTTACATTGCCACACCTTCTTCCATGGGAAAGAGCTCTGAGCAGGTTCTAATAAGGATCTAAAGTAAGAGCGAACTGAGAATATACCATTCGGTGCCAACCTCCACCTGCTACGATCACCTTCTCCAAACTGAATGTGCGCCTCATGCAAAGAAGTCAAAAACAACGCATAATCATCTAATTCCCAATCCTGTAGACCCCTCTCAAAGATAGTATCCCAACTGTGACTTCCATTGTGAATGGTGAGTACCTCATTCACCATAGCAGACGGCTCCAAGGCAATGCGATACAAAGCAGGAAATCGTATCTTTAACGGTTGATTACCACACCAACGATCGTCCCAAAATCTGATGTTATTGCCATTTCCCACCTCATAAGACAAATTGTCTCGAAAGTCACCCCAACCCCGTCGGATATACCTCCACAGACTCACCCCATAAGATCCGCGACCGTCAATTGAGCACCAGCCCCCCTCCATAATACCATACTTCGCTCCTATGATTTCTCTCCAAAAACTCACCCTCTCCACTCCAAATCGCCACAGCCACTTGCCCAGCAAAGCCTTATTAAACAGACTCAACTTCCTCAATCCAAGGCCCCCCATCCTTACAGGAGAACAAACCACATCCCACTTGACCAAATAAAGTTTCCTCTCTTCTCCCATCCTTGCCCAAAGAAACTCCCGTTGAATCCTCTCTAATCTATTCGCCACTGCAGCAGAATAGGAAACAATGACAAGAAATAAGTAGGGAGGTTGGAAAGAGTAGATTTGATGAGAGTAAGGCGGCCACCCTTTGAAAGATACATACGCTTCCACCCTGCTAGCCTCTTTTCCATCTTTTCGATGATCTCGTTTCAGAAATATAATATTGCATTAATGGAACTTTTGTGAGCAAGTGCCTTTCATTAGTTTCTGTTATATTTTTCTGTTTCCTCCCATCTTCTTGAAACTTGGCGGCATTAACAAGTCTCCAATATTTCACCTGCCCCAGATAGTTCTTAACCATAGTGCCGATTGGTCATTCGATGCCAGATGGTAAAACTAATGTCTCTTAGAAGCTTTTTGCTCTCATATCTTTTGAAATTGGAATCTCGGATTCTGCTTCTCTTTTCCTTAACTAGTAAGGGCACCCTATATCAAACATAATTGCAAACTGTCTTGTTCTTTTCTCTTCATACTTCTAACAATCCCTCCTATGATTTGAAAGGTAAAAAATTATGTTCGATTTGAAAATCTCTACCAAATGACTATATCAGCCCCTCATGAAACAATTCTCTAATCAGCTTACATTAGAAACCACCATCAATTTATACTTGAAACCCAAACAAATAAAAATAAAAAGATTAATAGCTCCAGAGGAAACAAATCCTTTATCACCCTAGGCCCCAAGTAGAAAACGCCCATGTTAGGCTTTTCCACAAGATCTAGAGGAGGAAGGGCTTTGCAATTCCATTGGTGTAGCAGATTTTATTGTCCGGAGTTTCATCATAAAAGGGTTGGTTTATACAACCGGACAGAAGTTTGGTCGATTTTAGCTTTTAGGTTTATGGTTAGAGTTTGTTTCCAGGTTTTTACGAGGTTGCTACATTGGTGAGAGAAGTGCTGAGGTTAGAAATTGATTCTATTCAGCAATAGTGGATTCCGGGTCTAGACACTTCGAAGAACCAGATGGAAGACCTGACAAGGTTGACTTGTGGAGCTTACCATTATCTGAACCATTTAGTTCGTTTGAAAATCTTGCATCCTTTACTGGATCTGGTTTCTCATAGCAGGCTTAGGACTTGCTATTTAGCTCAAACTCAGAGCAAATTTCTTCATTTATCTCTCTGAGGACAGCAGAAAGTCTTGATAATATGCTTGCTTGTTAAAATAAGCTGATTTTTACCCCCCTGAAAGGCACAGCAGATGTATGTTGAAAAACCTATTTGTTGTGTGGGAAGTTGTGGTTTTTGTTACTTTTTTGGCATTTTAGATAGAAATGAACTCTATATTTTTTAATAAAAGGAACAACTGCTGCGAATATATTGGAAGGAGCAAAGTTTTTGGCTTCTTTATGGGCTTCTATCTCTAAAGAGTTCAAGTATTTTAATTTTATCTTTAGGTGGTGTTGGTTGGAAAATGTGATGTATTCCTGATTTTGTTTTTAAACTTGTTTTTCTTATATTTTAAGAGGGCTCCTTGTTCTGGCGATGTATGTATGTATTGTGATATCATGAATAATAAATATACGTTTTTAGAAAAAGTATGATTAAATATTTTCCCTTCAAATCATCCTGTCTTTGATTATAATCTACATACCAAGCAAAGAGAACTTGGTATGGTATGTTCAATTGAATGTTAATATTTATTTCAGCACAAAGACTTGAGCATACCTGCAAAGTTGTTCACCAATTGCAAGAACATTTCGAAGTTCTCTTGTAGCATTTTCGGCAAACTGTAGAACTCATGACATAAACAACTAGATCTACATCAAAACCAGTACATCTTTCACCTATTTATAAACATTAAATTATAGTTGATATTTGAAAATATATGTAGACAATTTCAACCGTCTGTTGTTTTTCAAAATTTAACCGTCTTTTGCTCCATAGGAGTGTTCCTTCTTGGAATGTGTAATGTATTTCAACTAACTCATTTTGTCTTTTTAGCATCACATATTTTATAATAGCCTTCTTTTTAGAAATGAGAATTCCTTCATTTTTACATTCATTTATGAATTGTATTAAATGATTTATATGTTCTTCTTTATTATTGGAACATATCAATATATCATCTACATATACTATTAGAAATTTATTAAATTTTCTAAATATATCATCCATTCTTCTTTGATATATTTGAGGTGCATTTTTCAATCCAAAAGGCATAACTAACTATTCATATAATAACTTTCTTTTTAGAAAGGACAATTTCTTCCTTTTTGCATTCATTTATGAATTGTATTAAATGATTTCTATGTTCTACTCTATTATTGGAACATATCAATATATCATCCACTTATACTATCACAAATTTATTAAATTTTCTAAATATGTCATCCATTCTTATTATTGCAGTAAGCTTGAGGAAAAGGAATGAACTTGGGAGATCAAGCTATTTCATTGTTATTTATATTGGATTATTTTGAAGATGATACAAGTTATGTAGATAGCAGTGAATGTAGGTTTTGGGTTGTGAAGAGGGCTTTGGCTTTTGGTTTAAATCATGTATAAGAGTTGGCCCCACATGGTGCGAGATTTAATAAATTATTTTAACTAATACCTATAATATAGAATTGAAAGAATGTAGTGTATTTTGACGACAATTTAAAAGTGTGTATGTGGACTGAAATTCCAAAATCCATTGGAAACTTCACTAGATGGTACCCTTCGCATCCATACCTCTTCTATCTAATGGGAATGGTTTGAAATGCCTGTTTTTTATACAATGCTGAATTTGTTCACTGCCATCTGTTTAAATTTAGTGCTGTTGATAGTTTAACTACTCAACCTAAGTTGTAGTTTTTTGATCAGCCTCAGTCGTGACTTCATGTACTTTTGTTACCGGTTTTAGTTCGCTTATGTTGCTTATTGCTTACTAAATATTTTATTTCCAGTTATTGGGAACTTCTTTTAGTTCATTCTATTGGTATTTCTTAATTACTTCTGATTCCTTCTCTGGTTTTACAAATTAAGATTATGCTATCAAAATGTAGCACTCACCTTTTCAATATAGTGATGAACCTAGAAGTGTTTGACATTTTTCCCTTCGTTACCCAAGAGTTTTGAGCGTATTACCTGAAGGCTTTTCCTGTTTAGACATCATTTTGATTGACTTGATATTTTTAGCATGATTCTGTTGCTTTTGTTAGGTAAAACTGGATGGTCAAATATCCTTGAAGCATAGATTATCTGGTCACCAGAAACCTGTCTCCTATATTTCATGGAGCCCTGATGATCATCAACTTCTTACTTGTGGAGTAGAAGAGGCTGTTAGATGTTGGGATACTGCATCTGGAGAATGCCTCAATGTATATGAAAAAAGTGGCCTCGGTTTGATCTCTTGTGCATGGGCACCGGATGGGAGAAGGATATTTTGTGGCGTTACTGACAAAAGCATCTGCATGTGGGATCTGGAAGGGAAAGATGTAAAATGTTGGAAAGGGCAAAAAACTATTAGAAACTCAGACTTGGGGATCTCTAGTGACGGGAAACAGCTTATTACTGTTTGTAAAGAAAATATGATATCATTGTTTGGATGGGAATCAAATTCTGAGAAATTCATTGAGGAGGATCAAACTATAATTTCATTTGCTTTATCTAATGATGGTAAGTTTTTGCTAGTTAGCCTATCGAACCAAGAACTCCATCTGTGGAATATAGATGGGAGTGTAATGCTAGTAGCCAAATACAAAGGTCACAAGCGTTCTCGTTTAGTTGTGAGGTCTTGTTTTGGTGGCCTACAGCAAGCATTTATTGCCAGCGGAAGTGAGGACTCACAGGTAATGCCTCTTCTGTTGATCATGAACATTTATTGCTGGTATGAACTGCTCTTTCAAAATCAAATTGATGATAATTGCTTAGCACTCGGAACAATATTATTTCTGTGGAGTAAGCTTTTTGAATACAAACTTAGACTGTTTGTGGTACTCACATCCTCCAAGTCAATTGGTGCTAACTGTTGTTGTCAGTGTTGTTTATGGGCCGTCTATCTGGACAAGCATGTATTATATTTGAATGTTTCTGTACTTCATACAAAATGCTAATTACATTGAGGCCACTGTGTCTAGATTTTGCTATCACTCTTGAGTGCCAGTGATTTTCAATTTTACAATAGATTTGAATTTATTACATAGCAAATACACCAGCCTACCTGGAGTATGCTAGGCTAAGCTTTATAAGTAAATAAGTAGGTTTTAAAATTAACAATTTCTAACGGTGAAAGTTGGAAATAAGTCATTTATTTATTTTCTTAATTAAGGTAAGAGTTTCTTTCTAAATAAGTACTAGCTTGTACTTAAATGTTACTCTTACAGAAGTAACTCAAATCAACTGAAGTAGACTATTATTAATTATGGCTTCTTAATCTCTCTGTGTGTTGTTTAATTTCTGTTTCAGTAATGCAAACTTGGTTATTGTCTTCAGTTAACAATTGATATATTAATTGTGAATTGCAGCTGTCTTTATCGGGAGTGTTACTAATTATTTGACATGATATGTAGGTTTATATATGGCACAGGGTCTCAGGAGAGCTAATTTTAACTTTGCCTGGACATTCTGCGGCTGTCAATTGTGTTAGCTGGAATCCAGCTAATCCTCATATGCTGGCTTCTGCAAGTGATGATCGGACTATTCGCATATGGGGCTTAAATCAGGTAAATATGACTCAAAATGGGAAGCATAATAACGGTGTCTGCTACTGCAAAGGGGCAACTTGAAGTCATCAATCCTTAAAAATTGTACTTTCTTACTGTCGAGTTTATGTAAATTCTTCTATACCAGTCCTGAGCTGACATTTACTACAAACTAGAAGGTGATATTACATTATCTGTGACAATAAATGCGTACTTTCTTTTAAATTTCAGTCTTTGCTGCTATTTTTTTGGTTATGAAGCTGATCAAGAAGGGTTTCGATGTGTTGATTGTTCAATTATTGACTCTTCACATGATTAGACCTATGTTCAATTCTTGATGCATTACATGATTGGTCGGTAGATTTAGAAACCTTTTTCTTGCTTGATATAGCTAATTGCTTCATTACCAGGCTGACATCTCGAGTTAAAAAGTATCTGTGATAGTTTTGTTCTTTCAGTAATGGCATTTTTAATTTTTCCATATGTAATTTTTTTTTCAACATTTTCTTTTCGTCTTTCCTTAAAATCTATATCGTGGAGTTGAGAAGCACGTGCATGATTCCCTCTTGCGTAGTTAGAAGGTTAACCCAATTTTTGTGGTGTACTTTCTGCCGGTTAAATGCATTCATTGCAAATATAACTTGTAAAATGTTAGAGATAAATGGGGAATGGGTTATTTACTCAATAATACTGTGGAACTCAGGTTGATAAACCTGTTATGAAGAAGTTTAGTGTTGACGTAACCTCTAGTCCTTGCTCAAATTGCCTGGCTAAGTAGATCGAGGAGGGATTTTGTTCTCGACTATTCTTGAAAGCTTCAATAGCGATGAGATTACTTGGAATTCTAGGACTAATCTTCGGTGCAGAAGTTCTCTTCCTCTCAGCAAATGATATCTCATAAAATGCTAGAAACTAAGTCAAAACTTTGTATTTGATTTCTTGCTATTGACCTCTTAAATTTATTTAGGTATCAGAACTTGTCCGATCATCCACTGACCCCTTTATTGTGAAAACCGAGCAAGACCACACGTGTGTTCTTTTACAGAATCAAGTTTGATTCAAATTTGATAATTGATGTAAAAGTTCAACATTCTTAGGCCATGATAAGGAGCTTGTGTGCAAACCACTCCGTCACCATAGCTAATTGACTGCTTTTACAACTCAATCAAAGACCCTATTTATGTATTTGACCAGATCTCCTCTTAAGCAACACTGAAAGAATTTGTAGTTTTCTCAACGAACTTTCTTGCACCTTTGAACCATCTCTTGTCTCCTGCTTGAGCCTTGCAAATGTATAGTTTGCCACCTGACACCGTCGCCATTATCAGTTGGTGTTTACCTCCTTCATCTCCATCAGCTGTTCTTGTCAGTACTGATATGAAATAGTAAGGTTTCCCACCGACCACCGGTGTTGAACTCTCCAATATGTTTGCAGTTGCCACTGCATTTGAATCGAATCCACCCTGCTCATATATCTCCAACTTATTATTCAATTCTGAATGAGGTGCTTAAAACTGTGCTACAAGTACTTTATTTACCTCTGAATCAGTTTTGCCAAAGTAGACTTGTTTTCCCAGTAGATAGTCCACCTGCACGTAGAAAAGTCAGGTAAAAGTTTGTTATAAGAATATCAATGAAGCATGTTTGGTAGGCCGGAGAAGTCTATTGACTCGTATACTAGACATGTTCGTGGGTGAAAACTAATAATAAAGATGATTGATTACTTGAGAGAGGAAGACCTCAGGGGAACCATAGTCAGTGATGGCTTTCTTGTCAGTTTTGGTGACCGTAACAACGACGTTGCTTGTGGTATCGAAGTTGTCCTCGTATCTAAGAACTTGACCAGGGTATTCCACTTCTTTGCTTGGGTTCCACTTTGCGGGAATTGACAACTTGAATCCATCCCCATTGTATGGCAAGAAATCTGTGTTTGTCTTTGGCTTCCCAAATATGTTGGCTGCATTTAACTTTTCACACATTAATTGAAAACGGACTAAAAGTATGTGGCATGCAATATTATTAGTGGATAATTCACATAGGTCACCTTATTATTCCTACTCTATTCAGCGAATTTTAGGTGATACTGCTTCTCTAGATTAGAGTGGCGTGAGAAAACTTTATATTCTTTTTCATCCCCGTAAAAATCTCAGGCGATGGGGGTAGTTCTCATGTTGAAGATGAACCATTATGAATGTGTCCTTTTTTTCGCATTTCTTTCCGATAACTTTTGCTCGTTGTCTTAATCTCTAACATTGTTTGATTCGACATAGAATTGTTATAATTGTTCGAAATGTGATTTAGAAGATTGGTATTTGGGCTTCATTGGGCCTTTTAGTGGACAACAAAAACCGAGACCAAAATGGCTATAGCCATGCGATCGCATGGTTTTGAAAACTAGCCGTTATGGCCGATTTTCTGGTTTTATTTTTTGTGCTTTTTGGTGAATGGAATCGAACTTTTCATGAATTGTTGGAGCCGGTGTATAAGTTTAATACTACAAAAACCATTTAGTATTCCATTTCAAATGATTGATTAACATCAAGAAATCCATACTTTGTTATTCCAAATTCATCAAATCATATTCAAAATTTTTATAGTTTTCATTGAGTTCACTTTGAAGAAACACTTGTGCTTTGGTGTTCTTCATAATTAGGTTTGATATAATCCTACAAACTATTTGCCGAAAATCCTTTAAAGCATTAGGAAATGAGACAAGTATCATTTGAGGACAACATTTGATCACGTGTTCAAGTCCTGCTATTCCATTCCATCTTCTTCCCTTTTTCTCTCCATTGTTGTATATTTGACTTCGTTTGGTATATCTAGTTAGTCTCCAAGTAGAAAAATTGTGACCGTTTTTTCACTGTTCCAGCTGCCACTTTTGACTGGTCCTCTCGCTCGTGGGTCCCGCCTGCAAATGTAACGGTACAAATTTTTCTACTTTTTCCAAAATGTAGATATACCAAACGGAGGCTAAATACGTTATCACTAGTTGAAATCTCAAGAATATTAGAATTCCACATTGTTTGGGAAAATATAAATAATTCAATTAATAAGGTGATGGCAATCTTCCCCTAATAAACTGATTTTATTAGGTGGAGTTAGACCCAATATATTCCTAACATGGTACCAGAATTAGGTCCAATTATGTAATGTTGGATGCCACCCAATATCGATTTGTTCACAATTGTTTGACATGATGAATGCTGTGCGTGAGAGGGCGTATTAGAATCCCACGTTACTTGGGAAAATATAAATGATCCATTTAATATGGTGAGGGCAATCCTCCCCTAAATCGATTTTATTAGGTGGGGTTAGGCTCCATATATTCCTAACAAAGAACAGTTGAATGATAGCGTAGATCCGAATTGGATAGGTCTTACCAGATTCTCCATAGGCCGCATCAGCAGGTGAAAGCTTGGATCCCATGGCAGCAGCCCCAATTAAAACAGTGAGAGCCAGTCTCCGAGATATAGTGGCCGCGCCATCTTCTTGTTGAAGTGCTGCCTGATTCTGCGCACGGCAAATCTGCCGTGTAGGCTTGAGTGATGGCGGGTAGCTGCTAGACGAAGAAGATCTATAAGTAGAGAGTACTGCACCTGAATGGTTGAACAAGAAGCATGCTGTTGAGGCCATTGATATATTTCTACTCTCCTTTTTTCTCAGACACGAACACAATTTCTTGTTTCTGTTTCGTTTGCTAGCTCGTAAATGGAACTTTGAAGTGAAAAGACGAAATGGGAGTTTTAATTTTGTTGGATGTTGGCATATCGTTGGACTTATGATGGAGGATAAGTGGTTCACATTGCTCTTGTACAAAATTCTAGTGTATTCTACATGTCATATGAGCACAAAAGGGTCCCACCTTCCGGAACTTACTTTATGAAGATGAAACTAAATAGGAAAAGCTTCACTAAAGTTAATACGGTCATTGTAATAGATAAAGATTTAATTGCTGTTGTCGCAAGTGCCGTTATAATTCAATACTATGATATCTAGTTTCGTAATACCGGGCCTCGGCCTCAGTAAAGCATTAGTCGAGGGGTTCTTCGCATTGCATTGGGTTAGGGTAGCTTCAAAGTTCTAACGAATGTCGTTGAAACTTGAATTATAGGTGACTTTGATTTAAATAATAAGATTGATTGACCACTGCTCTACCGAGTTATTCCGACCATTCCCATTACAAAAGTAATTAGTATTTTTGGCATTAGAAGGTATTTTTGAATGTTAATTAGTCTGAAAGTAGCTCTTTCAGCGTTAGCCACTTGAATTTTCGATAGTGCTTACTTGATCAATGAATTATCTTCCTTCAACGTTAAGAGTAGGCAATACTAGTGCTTTTCCCAGAGTCAAAAAGAGTTTATAAATGATTTTTTGTCTAGTCAATCTCTTAAGGCATTGAATAATAACCCGCATCATGTTCTATAGATGATGGGGCACTTATGGCAACAGTACATTTAACTAAGGGTGCGCTTTCAAGTTGTTTTCAGTTTTTAGTTTTTCAAAATATTAAAAATCTGATATTTTTGAAAATGTATTTTGAAAAACAAGGGAAAACTTATAACATAAAACTGAAAACGCATTTTTTACGTCATAGAAAACAAGCATTTAACTAAAATTTTGTTTAAATAAAATTTTAAAATAAAAATCTAACAAATAAAATTTGAAAAAAAATCAAGAAAGATAAATTTAAAAAGTAAAAAATGAAAATAAAATTATCAAAAAATCTATAAATAATAAAAATAATAAAATAAAAATAGTTCAAGCTCGTAATGATTATTAAAAAAAATTCTAAAAAATCTTTAAGTGAATACAAATAAAAATATTTTCAGTTAATTTTTATTTTTATTTCATATTTTAAACTCAATTTATTATTTATTTTTATTTTATTTTTGTAGCTAGAAACAATATTGTTAGATTCATTTACTTTAAAATGTAATATTACATGATTAATATAAAATTGTTCTATTTTTATTGAATAAAATGTTATAAAATATTTTTTCAAAATTTCAAACCAAACATGTCTTCTAGTTTTCTATTTTGAGAAATAATTTTTCAAAATAACAAATCAAATGCGTTTTTAGAAATTTTAAAAGAGACCTCTATCTATTTCATGACACTTATATAACTTTTATGAACTTTTAAAGGATACATTTTTTTTTTTAATCTAAATCTGTTAATTTTTAACAAAAGATTTGTCAAACAACCATTGAAAATCAAAGGCAAACGTCCCATATTTTTTGGTGCTAATTCCGTGGTGAACTATAGTATTAGCGATAGTTTTACTACGAAAAGCTCAACAAGAAAAAAAATAAAACGCATCTTGTCGCAAATATTGAACAAGCTAGAAATAAGGGAAGTCGATGATACACATCAATATTAGCGAAAAAAAAAATGTTCACTCTAATCTTCGACAAAAACGAAATAAAAAAAGGAGATGGGGTGCATCAAAGTCAATTTGCACCATATCGAATCAAATTGAAATAAGTGTAAATCAGATTCATAAAGTTAGATTTTTAGAATCTTCCTATGCTCAAAAGACTATTTCATCGGCATTCCTAAATTTTGCTTGCTTCACCGTACTCGTTGCATCTCTGCTTCATACATTCGACTTTAAACACATTAGCAATCACATCTTGATTGATAACAATATGATTTCTAGTCATTTATATAATGGATTCTATCTAAGTAAACAAAAATTGTACATGGCATAATTCCTATAACATGGTAGCTATTAATTTTAGAGAAAGCCAAATCTCTAATCATAGATAATTTCTA